GTGTTGGTCATGGCAGGAAAAACTAATTTTTTTGTAATGATTTGCCTACACACCCCTTGCCAATGACAAGGACATCTCACCAATCCAACGGGTTATTTTTTAACATTGTAATATATTTTTATTGAGTAATAGTACATGTAAATTTATCTTATTTTGTTATTTCACTTTTTATTTTTTTGTAATTAATAATTATAAATAAATTAAACCAAAATTTACAATTACCAATCATTTTTTGAGATAAGACCATCAACCTTATCTATCCAGGAAATAGAGGGACAAAGGGACGCCTGGCTGAAAAAAAATATCCGAATCGCAGGTCCAGTGGTAAGTCGTATTTATTTAGGGTCGTTTCTAACTCTCATGTGCTTATCAAGTAGGATTTGATTGTCACACTTTCACCTCGGATCACATAGGGTGAGTGGCGGATCGACCACCAAGGCCTTAACCAACTAACTATGTGTATAATAAATGTAAAATATAACGGAAGATAAATAATAAAGTGATCAAATTCATCGACCAAATGAATATCAAAGGAATAAACTACATACCACCAATATCATTACTAAACTCATGTAAAACAATAATTAAATCATAAGATTCACTATTCTAAACATAAGTAATATTGTTCCCAAAATAATTAAACATTTGTTTCAAAATTATAATAAATTTTTATTCCTGAAGACTTATAATAAAATAAATCTTCAATTCCTCTAACCCCCTCTGTCTATATATGGACTTACTCTTCACCCTAATCCTACTGCTCGCTAGTCCAAAGTGCTTGCTCTTCAACGGTAAAACATTTGATCTGATCAAAGATCTTATTCTTCGACATTGGCTATTTGTGCTTGTTCTTATTTTTGTTCCATGATTTCTTCCCCACAGTTAATTAGTTGATCAGAAGGTAATAAACACGCTTGTATTTTCAGGTTCTTCGTGAGATTTGTTTACTTTTTTTGTGTGTGTAGTCCCGAGTGTTGGACGAGTAATCAAAAATTTAAACACTCCTAATTGTAAGATATAATTACTGTCTTTTGAGGCCATTGTGTAGGACTTCGTCTTTAAACTAAAAGCATCTCTAATAGTATTATCTATTTTTATATATGTGTCATCTTTTCATACATTAAAAATAGAATAGAGAGTGAATTAAACTCTCCAAATATAAAAAATCAAGCAAGAATCTTTATTTTAGCTAGTCTAAATAAAGAACTTATTGGAACTTGACTTTTGATAATTGGCTCTCTAAAATGATGAGTTGAGTGAAAATAAAAAGCCTAAGCAACCATTTTGTGTGAATAATATCTAGTTATGTCGTTACCAGTCTATCTCTCACCTGAAAAATATTAAATGTTTAGATGAGTATAATAGCCCATGAATAGCAACCACCTCTATTAAGGCGTGAAAATAAATCTCATAGTTTATATACAAAATAAACTTTGATACACACATAAGTACAACAAATTGTATCTCAACCCCTCTCACATAATCTTTTAAACAAAATGATTTCATAATCGCAAATAACTTTATAAATGAAAAGACATTTATAATCCAAAACACTTACGCACACATTCAGTTCCAAATACCTTTGTCAAATCATGTTTGTTACCACTAGCCTGATAACTGGCCTACTCACTTGTCATCACTAGCATGATGAGTGACCCTGTCTCTTATTACCACTAGTCTGATAACTGGCTCAGTCTCTTGTCATCACTAGTCTAATGACCGCCCTAGTCGTTTGTTATCATTTAGACCTAATAAGCCTAGTCTCCGTCTCATAAACATGATTTTCAAACATACAAAAACTGTAGTTTTAGTCTTAACACGTACAAAATTTTCCTTCCATCGTCAAAGTAATGATATAAAATCATCCCACAAGTTTTTCAAAATTCACATGTAGAACAATTTACAATTTTAAAATATTTAATTGCAACCTCAAACATCAACACATATATCATATATATGAAAAATCTTCACGCACGCATCCGCACATTGAATATAAAAAATCCTCTCAAAAGAAGTAGTAAATTACTCACCTTAATTCTCAAAATTCAATTCAAACCCCTATTTTTCAACCTCAATGCAATCACTACATAATTCAAAGTAATATATAACGATTAATCTATATTCCTAACTTTGTCATTTTGCGATCCTATATTTAATTTTTATACTTCCTATCCATTAATATATATTTTATATATCCTTTACATATAAATAATATTTTTAATGTGAACTAATAGAGTATGAAATTAATCTGGGCAGTTTATAAAAAATTTCTAAAATTTTTTTATCATTAAATCATAATCCCTTACCCAATACAAAGTCCTGAAATTTTGTCACGTATCTATTGGATTTATACCAGGCCTATCAACGTGTGTCCTAGTGAGTATATGTAAAAAAATACTCTACTTATATTTAATTCATTTTTTAATTTATGTTTAATGAATTATATCGTATCGAAATTCGTATCATATATGAATGACATAATTGGTGTATAAACAAATCTGTCATGTAATTTTTTTTTTATTAATTTCATTTATACCCGATTTGTTTGTGAAATGTGTCAGATCAGTCCACTCTTTCACTAAACATATAGTTTAAGTAAGATCCAAACCCTCTAATTTTGTCTTCTATCGTCTCGTGTTAACGAATTGTGTCAACACTCATAATTTATACGAATATATTTTTTCCCAGTTTTTTAGATTATCTATCAGTTAGGTTGGGATGGGCTAAAAAGAAGCCCATGACCCTACATTCCAAGCCCAAATGTCAATCAATGGCCTATCGTGGCCGGTGGACTAAGTCCATGCTCCGATAGACCACCAGGCTTTTCGGGCCAACCAGTAGGGGTTACTGAAGACTGTTATGGTTAGTCTTGGAGGAAATAAAATGTTACTGAGATCTAATTTGAGAACTTCTATTCCTCCTATGGATGAGCGTAGATCAGGTGAGTCTAACTCTTCTGTCTATAAGGGATAGGGCTTGCAAAAGGTATAAATTATGTCATTTTTTAGCCGGGTATCTTGATCCAGCATATTTCTAGGGAGGAGTCTCTTCCACAGATAAATATATATAAATAGTTGTACGAGCATTATATTTGATTTTGTGAACCTTGAATTAGAAGAGGGCTTCATCTAATATTAAAATTCATAATTAATATAACAATTACATTAAATTAAATCTCTGATTATGTCTCTATAGCATTGCTGTGAGAAAAAATATAAACAATGTTATAAGGATCTAATTAAATACAGCCGTGAGATTAGTTGAAAGTTCTGAACTTAGATTAAATTAGCGTCACAACCTGGTGTCAGCATTCAATAAGAACATAATAAGTAAAAAAGTGGAACCAATCCTAAGCGATGATTCAAGTGATAACATGGACGAGCTGTCAATCTAGACGTCATGAGTTCAAATTATGACAACTCTTTGGGTGAGGCTATGAAAATTATGAATATCCTAGTTCCGACATTGATGGTCTGCCTTTGATCGAACTCAGGAAGAAATTAATTAAAATACATATAAACTGACCTAGATACCTCTGATTGTTGAACAAAAAAAAAAATGGATCACACATATTTATCACTACTCCATGTCATTTGATAAGCACCTCACGTTAAAAACAAAAAATATATATATATAGGGTCTATTTTATCAATTTTGTAATGTAATATCGCGTAATATTAATAATGTAATATCATTGTAACTAGTATTTACTCCTACTCTTTAGACAAATCTATCTTGCATTGCAAAGTCGAACTTCAGTTTATTTGCTCAAAAGCATATATAAATTGGTTTTAGCGAGCTAAGCTAGCAACAAAATAATGGTAATTTTTGAAATCTTAAAACTCAAGTTAATTATGGAATCATCATATTGGCTTAGTACATCAAGTTTAATAGTGCAAAAATCCAACTAGCCATCACCTATAATCTTTTGGATTTAAATCCTGTTCAATATATTCCCTCAAGTTTTATATAGAAACAATGTGTTATTAACCATGGATGAAAACTTTTTAGTGATTGATCAGACCGGAGAGGAGATTAGTCAATGTGTGTGTAAGTTAACTCAGAAACCTCTAACCGTTGAACAAAAAAAAAAGAGTGATTAAGTAGTTAAGTTTAGTCTTTTAGTAACTTAGAAATCTCAGATTCTATCTCTTTTCATACCCCCTAAAACTAGCCACTTTTATTATTTTAGGAACATACTCTAATCCAATTCAAGATATGGTGACCATATGCTGAGGTCGAGAGAGTAGTTGACTTGAGTCAGAAGACTATGCAGCAACAAAAAAATAAAATAAAAAAATGGCTGCCTTGTTTCATGCGGTGGTGACACCAACAACAAAATCCAAATTTGTGTTTTAATTGGTTAATGTAATAAATATGTCAAATTTAGATTACGATAAATATATTTTTGACATGATTTATCATTCTCATAAGAAATCAAAACTACATTTTCAAATAAAAACTTAATCTTAATTATGGAGTTGAGTTTTACAGGAAAGTTAGTCCGTCAAACCTATTCAATATCCAAATTAACAAGATTTTAGTTATATATAAGATACATTTGATTATAAATAATTATAAGCGAATCAATTATAAATTAAATAAAATTTCTCACTTCACGACTTAGACACAAAAGATGAACATTATACAACACTCTACATTGCTAATCTATTTTATGCTTGACTATCTATTTTAAAAAAGAGAAAAAAAGAAAGAAATAAAAGAAAATAGTGAGAATATACAAAAAATGGATAAAAGCTTAAGGAGGAAAAACTGGCTAAATGGCATATGGTACACCATAGAATTTCCCTCCACGTAATTTCGTCTTTTTGGGGCACAGTCAGTAACAAGACTTCTTGTTCTCCAAGCCACTTTAAAGTCCCATTTCCCCTACCCGTTGCTTCTTGATATTTCCCTCCCAATCATAAAACCCCAAAACTCTCTCTCTCTCACTCATCTTCAACACAGTCACAGCAACTTTCTCTCTCTATATCTCAACAATGGAGAGAGCCGTTTTTCTTCGTTCTCTTTCCACTACAACCGCACTCTCTTGTTCTCGATTCTTTTCTCGCTCTTCTCACCGACTTGCTTCCATCTCTTCCAAACGGCACCGTTTACTGTCCAACCTCCAAAGACGCTCTCTTTTTCGCAACCATGTGAGACTCATCTCCACCGCATCGCCGCCTTCAATCTACCTGAAAGGACACTTCTGCGCTCTATCCACTCGAGCTATTGCCACCTCTTCGCCACAATCCTCTCCCGGTACTCAGCTCTGTCGTCTTTTCCCTAATTCTTTCAAATTACCCAATTTTGATTAATTTCGTCTTTACCAATTCTGTCAAACTACTCAGTTTTTATTCGATTTTGAGCGATTAATTTTGCTGTTTTTGTTTGTTTTAGATTTTCTTGGGGCTCATGATGATGTTGCCGAGAAGTTTGGGTTCGACAAAGTTTCGGAGCAGTTCATTGAGGAGTGTAAATCGAGAGCTGTTTTGTATAAGCATAAAAAGACCGGTGCCGAAGTCATGTCGGTATCGAATGAGGACGAAAACAAAGTCTTTGGCATTGTTCTTCGAACTCCTCCGTAAGTATTTATTTATAATTTGATTTCTTATAATCTTTGTGGTTCTTCTTATATGTATTTATTTCCTTAACTTATTGAAATTTGCTTCTGTAGTAGATTTAAGTGTTTTTTTTAAAGGAACTTAAAGAAGAGGTATTCCTTAAAACTTGATGACAGTTTCTATGGCAATGCAAGTTTTGGACAAATCCCTTGTAGCAAAAAAAATTCAAATTTCATATGTTGTTATAACAACTGGGTAAGTGTTAATTATATACTCTGATTGAAGTTGGCGGAAGTATGGAAGATCGGATTGATAGAAGCAACCGTTCCTGCTCTGGGTTGCTTACTGAAAACTGTAAAGACTTCAGTTGGCTGTATGACTTCTTTAGGAAAATATCTAATCATCTATGTATGGGAAAAAGATATAGAATATTATGTCCATGCAATATGTTTGTCATTGGTAAAACTGTGGGGTTTTAAAGGGAACATGGATATCTAAAAGGGAACATTCTTCAACAACAGATTTCGCCATCTGTTCTCCTTCCCATTTAGTTAAGGTCTATCCTTGCATTACTAATGAATGGGAATACCTTAGAACGTAATAGATTTGACCATAAGCCCTAAGAGCAAGCAAGAAAATCTCCCTTGCTCAACCTCTTCATTCTCACTGGTTATGATGCTAACAAGAGGATTAAGAAAAGGGAATGATGTTATAAAGCTGTATTGTATTTGTGGGTTGTGGTTCATGTGCATTTCCCTGGTTATGAGTTAAACTAAAAACTCAATAACATTATGTTAGTTTGTTAATTTGAACTCTGAACCTCCTAGTCATATCCTGCAGTGAATGCTAGTGTTATACATGGAAAAAATTTGTATCGACTAGAAAAATTTGAAGGTGTTTCAAGGGACAATAAAATGGCTTATTAATTATTTTGCACTTTACCAAATTCGATCTGTTGTGCTGGTACTAATCAATCTCTGTGTTGGATTTCTGTTTGGCAAAGATATATTTTTGACAAATATGGTCGGTCAAGATATTATCATTTTGTTCTAATGTTTTGCAGGAAAGATTCCACTGGAATTCCTCACATATTGGAACACAGCGTTTTGTGTGGTTCGAGAAAGTATCCACTGAAAGAACCATTTGTTGAACTATTGAAAGGGAGCTTGCACACCTTTTTAAATGCATTCACATATCCTGATAGGACTTGCTATCCTGTTGCTTCCACAAATATGAAGGTTTAACATTTGCTTAAGGTTCTGGAATCAAAGAATAGATGAGGTCTCCCTTGAATATATTTTAAATTGACGTGTACTTATTATTGTGCTGACAGGATTTCTATAACTTGGTCGATGTGTACTTGGATGCCGTCTTCTTCCCTAAATGCGTGGAGGACTTCCAGACTTTTCAACAAGAGGGGTGGCATTATGAACTGAATGACCCTTCAGAGGATATAACTTATAAAGGTTGTTTTTGAATTTTTTCTCTTTGTCCTTGTTCTTTTATTTATTTATTTTTTGGCTTACTTGTCAATTTGCCTACCGAGCTTTAAGTTCTTCTGCCAGTAGCATTGAAGTATTTTCTGGTCTGAAAAGATGCAACAGCACCCTGATCACATAACTCATGTGTCATTTCTTTCTAATAGTTTTTGGGGACAATATCAGGTGTTGTTTTCAATGAGATGAAAGGTGTTTACTCCCAGCCTGATAACATATTAGGTCGAACCTCTCAACAGGCAAGTGCTTCACATTGTTTTTTCGAAAAGTAAGTGCTTCTCGTTGTTCATAACATCATTTTAATAATACTTGGGCAAAACTTTCAAACACTATCCAATAAACTCTGGTTTTATATTGGGAAATTAGATTGGTTTTTGTAGCTTATTTCTTTTGTATTATTTTTCCTTTTTGATTATTCATTGGTCCAAAGTAGCTTTCCAATCTCTTTGTTTGCTATAACCTCTTTATTTTTCATTATCATAACTCCAAAATAGGAAAGTTCATTCTTTGAAATGTATTTATTTTCTTTCTATATCTTTTTTGTGGGACTAGGGTGGTTTCATGTAATATATCTTTTGGATTCTTTGGATTTTACATTTCCTCTGTTATTCTTAAAGAGAGTCCAAGGTAATGGCCAGATTTTTGCCTGGTTGAGTGGTAACTCCACACCATGCTTCGTGCAATATTTTCTCAAGCTACTTATAATAAATAACAAAACGCAAGCCTACACTTATGCAACATTTGTACATAGGCAATTTGTTCCATGCCATGCTCATCCTTGAACCACTTCTTATTGTTGTGTGTGCTTAATTATTTTGGGCTATTTTGATTGCATTCTTGTAAGGAGTTGGAAAACTGTATGGCATCCTTGATGCTGAATGCAATTTGAGTATGCAAATGAATATGGGATACACTGCTACTAAAATGGTTACTATTTAATTCGTAGCAGATTGACTTAAGCACTTATATTCCTCACTGCTTCACTATATTTTGTCCAGGCTCTTTTTCCAGACAATACTTATGGTGTTGATAGTGGAGGTGATCCACAAGTTATTCCCAAGCTCACTTTTGAGGAATTCAAGGTTTGTTCCAAGTATCATTTTGTTTTCGTGTTGCTGTATAATAATGCAAGCCAAAAAAAATAAAATTTATATGTAAATGAAAATACAATTCACAGCGTCTTTATTTATCTAGAAGCTTTGAGACACTGGGTGATAGGGTTTAGCCGGTCTTCCTTCATAAGATGTTTGCTTTGATGATTAAAAATTGTAGATAAAAACCTATGTAAGGCTGCATGGAATAGTCCTACATACACCTATCATATGGGAGTATAGTATTTATAATATATCAATCTTTTGTTGTTTTGATGATGTGAGCATGTTATCTTCCAGCTACATATGCGCATCTAAAATAATGACTTCTACTCTGATAAATATCTGTGCTTGAGTAAATACGAAATTATGCGTGCAAGCACAAGTGTAATTCATAGTATCTTAAAGGTATTTGGTGTTCTATACCATCCAATATACGGATCACATATATTGGGCAAATCTTGTAAGAATCTAGGTTCTGAACTGAAAATTGAAGAAGTTTTTGGTAACTCCAAGCTGACATTAGTTTTCTCATTTTTTATACTGATATTCCCTTGGTGAATTTTCAGATAAATATGTAGTAAACAGATGATTTCAAAGCAATGTTATCTTCTCTGTTTTTTTGTGGCTAAAAGGTTAGCGGAAAGTAATTCAAAAGTTTGTAAAGGGGCGTACAATCGGGTAAAATTTTGGTGCTTGAACGTTTTGGTTTCTGTGAATTGTACCGGAGAACAATAACTTAGGTTGTTCTCGGCCTTTGTTGTGGAGTTTTACTGTTGAGCGAGTGAAGGCAAAGTGGGTCTTGCTTGTTCAATGGAGTTTTAATCGTGAATTGAAACTTCTTAAGGTCAAGGGTTCAAGGCCCTTCCCCCCCAAAAAAAAAATATGTAAGAAAAAAAAATAAAAAGCTCAAAACTGCACCAAATTAGATTAAATACATGAGCAGACTGAATCTGTGGGCATCATACCTAGTGTTACAACAAAATCTGTTTTTTTGTGTGTGTTCATATTTATGAGCAATCCTAATTTATTTAGTTACGGTAATTATGCCTTTGCAGCATAAGGGAGGAATACGTGGTGCACATACCTCTATGTTGCGTTGATCATCGTTTTGACTTCATGTGGTGCTCTTGTTCTTTTTGTTAAATTGAAATTTACAGGAGTTCCACCGTAAATATTACCATCCCAGTAATGCCAGGATATGGTTTTATGGAGATGATGATCCAAATGAGCGCCTGCGCATCTTGAGTGGTACTTTTTTTCATTGATTTAACTATATTGCATATAATGTATTTGCACGATAGATTTGTATGCGTACAATTTAGAATGTTGCAGCAGATGTGAATATGCAAATATCAGTTGATAACATGACTGGATTGACCAGTTGAGCCACTAACCGTCACCTATTTAAACATCATAATCATATCTAGAAAGGAATTTTGCAATTGAAATGAACGGCAACATAACAGGAATGTTTTTGAAACCTGGCTAGGCTGGACAATAATAATCTGTCACCTGAATAGGATTTGTTTAAGGTAGGTCTTTGAAATTCTTACGGCTCAACTCAACTACCCATCTCAATAAAGCATTGTCCCAACATATTTTGGTGGTTTTGAAAATTCTTTTAGTACATAAAGTACTGTGGATATTAAGGCCTTAGACTTTATTACAATCCATAAGTCGGTGGGTTTCTGTTCTCTCTCTCTCTCTCTCTTAATTGCATTAGAATGCTATTCATTTTCCTTTAGATTGGATTGTTTCTTTTTACTTGTCAAAATTATGATTTATTTTTGACATTATGAACAAGAGGTTGGCCCTAGCATCACTGGTTTTAGCAAAGGAACCAGTACGCATGCAGGATATGTTTGTTTGTATCAATTGATCCTCCCTAGATCCTGCAATGACGGGAGTCTCACGCTCTCTCTCTTTTTTTATCCAAGAGGTTGAGCTGTGAAACTATTGAACTGCATTCGAGTCAGTAGTACGTAAAATTAAGAAAAATCAACTGGTTGTTACACTTATCTGAATTAAATATTAATGGTTTAGATGCACGTTAGCTTTATTTATTGGCCTAGTGATGGCAGTACATTTAGTAGTCTAGGCAGCTTCATTTAAAGTTGTAGCTTCTCATGGCTTTCCTTTTTTAATTTATCATACAGAATATCTAGATATGTTTGATGCAAGCTCAGCTCCCAATGAATCAAGAGTTGAACACCAGAAACTATTTTCTGAACCAGTCAAGATTGTTGAGAAATATCCTGCTGCTGAAGGTGGTGACTTGAAAAAGAAGCACATGGTGTGCCTCAATTGGTTGCTATCTGATAAGCCACTAGACTTGGAAACTGAGCTTGCTTTGGGGTTTTTGGATCATTTAATGTTGGGAACTCCTGCTTCTCCCTTGAGGAAAATCCTGCTGGAAAGTGGTTTGGGAGATGCCATTGTTGGGGGCGGGATTGAGGATGAGCTCCTTCAGCCCCAGTTTAGCATTGGTTTGAAGAATGTTTCTGAAGAAAACATTCAAAAGGTAGAAGAATTAGTCATGAATACACTGAAAAAGTTGGCAGAGGAAGGTTTTGATTCAAATGCTGTAGAGGCATCAATGAATACCATTGAGTTCTCTCTCCGAGAAAACAATACTGGGTCATTCCCTCGTGGTTTAGCCCTGATGCTTCGCTCCATCGTAAGAAATACTTGTCATTGTCGTCATCGTCTTTGTCCAAACTGGGTGTCCTTTTTATCCGTTCTTAAATAGGAAATACATTCTAATTACATTTCTGTGATATAGGGGAAATGGGTATATGATATGGATCCATTTGAACCATTGAAATATCAAAGACCACTGATGACTCTGAAAGCCAGAATAGCGGAGGAAGGCTCCAAAGCTGTTTTTGCTCCTTTAATAGAGAACTTCATCCTCAATAATCCTCACCGTGTAACCATTGAAATGCAGGTGAGCTTTTTCACCTGCAGAAACTTTCTTATGTCAACATGATACCTCTGTTTTAGTATCAATTACTTACAGTTATTTTCTTGTCAGCCTGATCCAGAGAAGGCTACTACTGATGAAGCTGTTGAGAGAGAAGTTCTGGATAAAGTTAAAGCAAGTATGACTGAAGAAGATCTTGCTGAGCTGGCACGTGCTACTCATGAGTTAAAGTTGAAACAGGAAACTCCTGACCCACCAGAAGCCCTAAAAAGTGTTCCAAGCCTCTCTCTGCAAGACATTCCTAAAAAACCTATATATGTTCCCATTGAGGTAATCATTATCATATTATCTTGTGTTTGAGTGTCCTACTACCAAATCTACTGTTCTGGATTGGATGACTTTACTAAACTCATGTTCTATGGATGTAGGTTGGTGATATCAATGGGATAAAGGTTTTGCGGCATGACCTCTTCACAAATGATGTTCTGTATTCTGAAGTTGTGTTTGATATGAGTTCATTGAAGCAAGAACTTCTTCCTTTGGTACCACTCTTTTGGTGAGATTGTACCTTCATTAGCTATTTTGCAATTTATTTTCCCAGTTTTTTCATTATTTTTTTTTGTGCAGCCCACTTTTGCAAATGATAAATAAGATATAGGCTATGTTAGTATTTTGTAAGTTTGTTTGCCCAGTTTTTGCATAATTTTATTGTACAATCCACTTTTGCAAAAGATACATAAGATACCGGTTATGGTATAGTGAGGGAAAAGAACAAGTATAAATAAATTATAGGCTGTGGTTTAATAATAACTACACTGAATGAAACCGTAACCTTTCCATTTGTGGTCAGAATAATGTATCCTTTATAACCATTCAGCTCATTTCAGAGACATATCTTTTATCTGATTGTTGGTCCTCGTGTTCCTGAGATTCTAACGGTTGGAAAGAAACTCCACTGACTATCGGCTTAAACTAAATCACTCCTTGCTTGCGATGTCATTAGTTTTTATTGTGCTGGAGGCAACCTCATAGCCAACTATTCTTGGTCTTGTTCTTAGTAGATGCTACCTCTGATTCACAAAATTGCGTTAGTTGTTACTTGTTACTCATCTCAGATGGTCAATTCTGTTGTGTTCATTTCTGGGCATTGCCATTCTTGACCACCCGACGTTTAGGGCTATGAGGCACAGCTGTCCTTACTATTGTTTTCTATAATCATTTTATGATTTGTTGAATCCCTTGCTTTTCCATATACAGCTTGTTGAGGTATTTTTGATCTGGGACATTTCTGTCATTCTGTTTGTAAGCTAGGATAACAGTATCCCTTGCCAATCTTCCTAGCACGAGCAAACAATTTGAAACAAAAAAATCCAGGATGTTTTACTAAACAAAAAGGGAAAAGAAGGGGTTAAAGACTGTTTTGACGCGGTATGAGGCAGCTAGCTTAGTTGTGTTAACGAATGCATGTGGCTTAAAGAATATGAACTGTGCATTAAACATCAAAGATTTAAACTGCAACCAAATTGCTTAACAGCCAATCATTGCTGGAGATGGGTACAAAAGATATGGATTTTGTACAACTCAATCAGTTGATTGGAAGGAAAACTGGAGGAATTTCAGTATATCCGTCCACTTCTTCAGTGCGTGGCAAGGAGCATCCATCCAGCCATCTAATTGTTCGAGGCAAAGCGATGTCTGACCGTGCTGAAGATCTATTTAACCTGGTATATTCTTTTTTTTTTTTTTTTTTTTTTTGTATTTTATACTTGCTTGCTTTAGTTATGAATGGGTGAAGTTCAGATTTTATGCTCTGAGCATTGAAAGTTATGTTACTTGGATTGTTTGGTGGTAACTTTGACTGAATTTTTTGGTTTTTATGTTTCTGGGATTTGTTAATGATTATCTATTTACTTGTTGCTTTGATTTTCACCTTCTCTTTGTGATATATGAACATTGCAGTTATCACTACAAACACTGAAATGTTAAATACGTTTGAAATGTGTAGGAATTCTGTTTTAATCATCTCAAAATACAAGGTTATTTTGAGATTGATTCTATACTCTTCTTTAAGTTCCTCTGTTCTCTGCATGTGCTGCCATCTATCACTATATGTATTGCTAAGGAGCTTGTATATTTGTATGAATGGCTCCTTGTATGTGCCTTTGCATTGTAAATTGATCAAATAAAGAACAATTGGTGAAGTAAACTAGGAAAGTCATGGGTTCTATGCTCCGGTTATACCTTGTGTTGTTCTTCTGTGTTTAAGCCTATGTATAGAAGATAAATCACAAAAACCCATTTCATCCTTTTTTTTCTTTTTTGTGTGCGTGTATGTGTTTTTTTTTTTTGGGGGGAGGGGGGGGGGAGGAACTCTTTCTTTCTCTGTCCATGTTGTACTTTCTAACATTAAACAATTCAGTTTGTCGGTGCCTTTTATGAACATTTTACCTTTTATCTAGTTTTCAAAGGTGGGCTCTTGATTTTAAGCATCATTACCCTGTGGACTAACAGTTTTACCACTATATGAAATTTAAGATTCTGTATACCGATACCTCTGGTGGATGTCATTAGTTACCAATAGTGGGATGTGAAGAAAAAACGAAGTAGCAGCATTCTGTTTGAAAAAATGAGTATGACTTAATATAAGGGTCTCTCTCATTCTGTACACTCACTTTACTTGCACATTTGGGTGCCTATGCATGTTAACTAGTTGGGTCATTACCTAGTGTAGTGGTGAAATCCTCATGTTGGCAATCGGAAGTATGTGGATTCAAATATAAGGGCAACCACTTTGTGCATTATACTGTGAGAGATTAGGAATATTCACAGTTCACATTTCCCTGTGTCCTTGGTTTACAAGGACCAAACTATTAATGACCTTTTTTTAATACATGTTGATGAGCCCGAATTAGACTAGTCCAAGCCCAATTTAATTAAACCAAGAAAGTCCAAAGAAGAACCCAATTGAAGCTGGGTCGACCCATTAGGAGGAAATCCAAAGGACATCAAGAGGCCAACGTCAAGGATCCCCAAAGGAGGGCGCCGCCCAAGGGGCCCAAGTGGGCGTCGCCCATGGCCAGCCCTTCTGTTCCTCTCCTCCCTTCTTCACTCCAATGCAAGTCCAAGTCCAAGTCCATCCCACTCCAAGTCTAAGTTCAAGATCAAGATTTACCCAGCTCAGGATCATCCTCCGACAGAATAGGGACACGAGCGAGGGAATATCAGGATACAGAGATCCAATCCTACCAAGATTGTACTTACCAAAATGAGAGAAACCCCTTTTCGCATGTCACCGCCTTGATGAATCTATATAATGTAAGTCCTCTACACATAGAGGGCATGCCTTCATGACCTTGAGATCCCTACATATACTACACCTTCCTACATACATTGCTTTCTCTCTCCCCCTCTAAGCATTGTAATGCTCGTGGAGAATACTCTCTCCGGCGACTTCATTCATTAATAAAAGACCTAGGCCACCGCTGTCGTTCTCGAGAGTGGAGTAGGTTATCCGAATGGAACCACTATATATCTTTGTGTTGACTCATTATTTACTATTTTGCTATTGATTGTCTATTTACTGCTCATTAATTGTATCTCTTGATATACTCGATTGTTGATTTTGCGCAAGACCGATTTGTACATCATCAATTTGGCGCTGTCTGTAAGAATCAACTAGTTTTCCTACTCTTTTAATCCATGGCGATCACTACAAGATCCATGAGTCAATAGCCAGGAGACAACAACTCGACCCACCAGGAGGAAGCTCTACCTCCCCTCGCTCTTGTAGAATCATTTGCTATAGCGACCCCCATTGTCGGACAACAACTTCTCCAAACCATGCAGCTGCAGGTGAACCAAAATCAGCAGATCATCCAGCTGATACTCGCCTAAGGGGGCTTCACCCTATGGGAGGAGTCTTACTCCCTCCAATGGGAAAGGAGCAACAACCTATCCCTTATGGGTGCCAGACAGTCCCCTACCATGGGGGCCCTCGCCAGATTACTCTAGGACTATGCCCCTCCAATGGGAAAGGAGCAACAACCTATCCCTTATGGGTGCCAGACAGTCCCCTACCATGGGGGCCCTCGCCAGATTACTCTAGGACTATGCCAGGGTGTCCTTCGCCCGACAGTTCCTCCTCAGCGCGTAGGGAGCTTTTGCATACCCCTTCCACACGTACCTGCGCAGGAGAATGAAGATGGAGGAAGCCAACATGGAGATCATTAAAACTAGTACCACCACCCGACAGAGGATATCCCCAATCAGTGGGACAAAAAGATTAGAGAGGTGCAAAATCAGCTCGGTGATGCCCTTAACGCCATCAAAGCACAGGCGCCCGAGATAGTAGACTACCTGGTAAGACGCACTGACACACCTTTTGTTGTTGACATAGTCAATTATCCCTTATCCTCGAAGTTTAAGATGCCTACCATCGAGATCTTCGACGGTACCAAAGACCCCTTTGACCACCTGGACACCTTCAAATCCCTCATGCAACTACACAACGTGTTTGAGGAGATTATGTGTAGAGCCTTCCCTACCACCCTAAAAGGGTCTGCACACTAATGTTTTGCAAAGATCAAACCCTCAATTCACTCCTTTGCAGAGTTGAGTAGATCCTTCGTCTCTCACTTCATTGGGGGATGTCGACATCAAAAACCCGTGACCCACCTGCTCACCATCAAGCAAGACGGGGATGAAAGCCTCAGAGACTACCTTGCCTGCTTCAACGAGGAGGCTCTCCAGATAAAGGAGCCAGATGACAAGGTAGCCTTGACTGCCTTTATCGCTGGCCTTCGCACCTCTAGTTTCATGTTCTCCGTTCTCAAGAAGCCACCATCCAGCATGCCCGAGCTGCTGTCAAGGGCACAAAAGTATATGAACGTCGAGGATGTCACCAAGGCCAGACGAGGTGAGTCCTCCCATGGGGACAAAAAGAGGAAGGATACCCGCGAAAATAGGAGAGAAGTAGAGAACAAGAGGAATAGAACAGAAAAAGTCTTTACGTCGCTCAATGCTTTTATGGAGCATATCATGTTCCAAATACAGGTTCGTTGACCTGGAAAAATGAAGTCTGCCCCCAAACCGCAGAAATCCCAGCATGTACTGTCGTTTTCACTGCGACCACGGCCATGATGCGGATGACTGTTTTGATCTTAAAAGACAGATCGAGGAGCTCATATAATGTGGCCATTTGAGGCAGTACGTTGTTGGCAGAGGACAAATTCCACCATTTGGTCGGGACCAGGATGATGGAGAGCACCAACAATCCCTCAGAGAAATCCAAACGATCTCCTGAGCACTAGGAAGAGAAGGTGATTTGAACTTCGCCAAGAAAGCATCGGCCCACCTATGGAACACTGAGCACTTGAAGATTTATCTATCATTTATTGTTTTAGTTTATTTATTTTGTTATTTATTATCTTATGAAATAAAATTTTGCGAAGATTATTGTGTCCAAAATTGTTTTGTTTTTCTAAATTTACAAATAGTTTATAAAAGTCAGAACATGGCTTAACAACAAGGTGTAGACAAAAGGAAAACAGTCGTCATACTCCTGACGATCAGTCACTGCTCTGTGAGCCACAACCATTATAATCAAGGTTCTCCCCGTCACCAACTACTACTGTTGTCTCATAGGGGATGAAGCCAGAGAAATTAACAGTGGCCCTCTCATCAAGCGCCCAGATTCAGGCGCCTAGTCGACAGTGCCCAGGTTGGCTGTCGCCCACCTTCTGCATGCCACCCAAGAAGGACCTTTTCGCTCCTGACACCAGTGCCCCTTAGCGTCCATGCCTAGTGGCACCCATCACCCCTCGGCGTCTGCCCCCAGCAATAGGCGACTGCACCACCAGGCGTTAACAACAGGTGCCCAACACCAAATGTCCATCCATCTTCAGGTGCCTAGCAGTAGGCGCCCTTCGGCGTCCACGCTAGGCGGCGCCCAGCACCTCTCGACGTCCGCGCCTAGCGATGCCAAGAGCCCCTCGGCGTCTGTGCCCAGCAGGAGGCACTCATCACCAGGTGCCCAGCCTCGGGCGCCTAGCTCCTCAACGCCTTACTCATCTCCTCGGTGCCCTCATCATTTCCTCCATCTCTATGGAGTGAGCCTCTCCCCTAGTAGCTCTCTCTAAGTGCTACTCGAATGTCAGCCTCAAAGTTGGGCAACCCTCTAATGCACTAGCCTCAACTTCTCAGCGGCATCTTCTCGTGCCTGCTGCTCAAGCACCAATTGCTCTTCAGTAGTCTATATCTCTAGCTTCGTACACTCTCGTGAGTCGCAAAGAAGCCCGACCTTATCTAGCTTCGGCTACGGTAGCCATATGACTCTGTTTTTGCGCATGTAGTCACTTTGTAAGCCTCTGCTACGACAACCATATGACTTTGCTCTAGCACATGTAGTCACCTTGTAAGCCTCTATTACGGCAGTCATATGACGCTATTCTCGCGCATGTAGTCACCTTGTAAGCCTTTGCTACGACAGTCATCTGCCGAGACTATACGTAGCCGACCTATGTGTGACAAGCCTTTGCCAGGGTAGCCATCCCACGAGACTGTGCGTAGCTCGGCCTCAGTTCATGCGATCTTCTCACGGGACTTCCACATCTCTGACTTTGCTCTCATACAAGTAGTCTACCTCTGTCTTCAGGCAATCATGTTAGATATTTTAATGTCGAGATAATATTGCTTTTTGCCAGGCACACTTTTGAGCTCAGGTCGTCTGCAACCGAGCCACTACTAGAAACAGGGTGAAGCTACAAATTCCTGTAAAAATTGCACTGGAGTTTCAACTCCTACAGCGGTACAAGGGCTAACTTTGATGCACACAGAAGTCCCAGTCTAGGAATGAGTGGGGGCACCACCGGATCCCACACCCAGGAAACAACCTGGCCATAGGACCTCGACCGAAAAGCACTGGTAGTTTACTATCTCGGGCCCTCATCCTCTTAGGAGGAGGGGAAGACACCACTCTAGAAGCACAGAGAACCTTCACCTCCATTATCACTCTGTCGGGATGTCCTGAAATCAAAGACAAGGTCAAGAACCGCCCAGTCCCCTCCTAGAGCCGTCCAAGCTAGCACATAGCCTTGGCGCCGCCTAGCACCTGTCACTTAAAAGCGCCCAACAGTCCTTGTCACTTAAAAGTGCCACCAAGCAGCTCCCACACTTGCCCAAGGGGAGCCAGCTGGCGTCGCCCTACTAACATCTTAATGTCACCCAAGGAGCCTGTCCAACCTCGGGCGTCTCCCAATACGCCTGCCGAGCCTCCTAGTATTGCCCAAGACGCCCTATCAACCTCTTGGCGTCACCCAAAAAAAAAAAAAAAAAAAAAGAAAGAAAGAAAAGGATAAAGGGGGAGACGCCCAAAGAGAAGGAAAAAAAAAAAAAAGGGAAGTAGCAGGCGTCGCCCAGACCAAGAAAGAAAAAAAAAAAAAGAGGCGGTGCCCAAGCCAAAAAAGAAAAGAAAAGAAAAAAAAAGCAGAAAGGTGGTGCCCAACCAGGCTAAGAAAGAAAAAAAAAAAGATAAAGAAGGCAGAAGGCGACGCCCAATGAAGAAACCAAGAAGAAAAGGAAAAAAGAAAGGAAAGGAGGGTCAGCACCCAAGGAAGAAACCAAGAAGAAAAGGAAAAAAAAAAAAAAAGAGGATGGCAAGTGTAAAAAAAAAAAATCAACATCAAAAAATTCAGCGAGTCCCTGAGGATGAAAAGATACTGTGGGAAGTAAGAAAAATTCTGACTCACCTAGATAAAGACGAAGCACATGCCCACAACCCTTTTCTCTTGCAAAAAAAAAAAAGTCAGAGGTTTGGGGCATGGGGGGCAAATGATGAGCCCGAATTTGACTAGTCCAAGCCCAATTTAATTAAACCAAAAAAGCCCAAAGAAGAATCCAATTGAAGCTGGGTTGATTCATCAGGGGAAAATCCAAAAGGACATCAAGAGGCCAGCGTCAAGGATCCCCAACTCAAGTGGCCCAAGTGGCCGTCGCCCATAACCTTCTCTCCTGTTGCTCTCTTCCCTTCTTCACTCCAATGCAAGTCCAAGTCCATCCCACTCCAAGTCCAAGCTCAAGATCAAGATCAAGATCAACCTAACTCAGGATCATCCTCTGACGGAATAGGGACACGAGCAAGGAAATATCGCGATACGGAGATCCAATCCTACCAAGATTGTATTTACCAAAATGAGAGAACCCCCTTCGGCACATCACTGCCTCACCGCCTTGATGAACTTATATAATGTAAGTCCTTTGCACATAGAGGGCATACCTTCATGACCTTGAGATCTCTATACATACTACACCTTCCTACACACATTATTCTCTCTCTCCCTCTAAGCACTGTAATACTCCAGGAGAATACTCTCTTCGGCGACTTCATTCATTAATAAAAGACCCAGGCCGTTGCTGCGGTTCCCGAGAGTGGAGTAGGTCACCCGGACCGAACCACTATATATCTTTGTGTTGACTCATTATTTATTGTTGTGCCATTGATTGTCTATTTACTGGTCATTAATTATATCTCTTGATATACTCGACTGTTGATTTTACGTAAAATCGATTTGTACATCATCACATGTTCATAGTAATTAGTGGGATGCTTGTTAAAAGGAAAATAGTAGAAGAAACAAAAAAAAGGAAAAACTTGATCAGGATTCAGTTGGAATTGGATTGTTTAGATTTTGTTGGGGGTATTGTGGTAACCAAAGTACCCAGTTAGGAAGCATGGATACTTTTTGGTGGGGTGTCGTGATAGTGTCGAACACGTTTTCGACCCAGACACAACAAAGATTTTTTAAAAAAAAACAAAAGTTGACTATTATAAGATATGTTATTTTTATTTTTTTAATATAATTTTTATTATGTAATGTAACTTATATACTATGAATGTCAATGGATGCAATGATATTTGATGAAAATGACAGACATTTATTTTAATATATTTCAATTTTAATCAAAAAATTAATATTTGCTAGGTCTAATTATTAATATTGTTATAATATATACTTTATTTTTAATATATTACAATTGTATTATTATTTAAAATATATATTATATTATTTTAATACTTGTATCTTTGTTATACTCGCGTCCTATATTTTTTTAATTTTGTCATATCACCGTATCTGTATCGTATCGGATTTGACATTCGTATTTGTATTTGTACTTCCTATGTCTTCGGTGATTTGTTAGTAGAGGATTCATCAATATGGAAGACAAAGAAAATCAAATTAAATTAGTAAGATGAGGAGGTATGCTAGTGTTTGATTATAGTTACGAACATGATTGAATTTTTTTTTTTTTTGGGAAAATGGTTGCACAAAGGGCAAAAGTTTAAAGATTGGAAGTTAAGTGGTTTCAATTTTATAGATTGGCGCAATCAAGTATGTGTATAAGTATGTGATAGCTATGATGGTATTAAAACTAAGAAAAACAAATTTACATAGAAATTGTGAGAGAAGAAGGTAAAAGGATTTTATGAGGTGATATGTAAGGCAGTGTTGCCAAATCCTAAAAACTTTGTACTGAACAAATGAACCTTGGACCAATGAATAGAGTAATATTGGAGTCACATGTGAGGGTTAAGTTGCAGCACTCCCGATTGAAGAGAGCTCTTCTAAAGGGCAAGTTGTTGAAGATGGGTGGATGTTGAGAAAAGGTCAGATGTTGATGGTCTCAGTCATAGGGAGATAACTATCGAGTAGGAGCAAGTGAGTGGAGGACAACAACATTACGTTGGTCTTCGTGGGTGACTATGCATGTGGCAATCCTCTTTTCCTCCTATGACGAGTAGTCGTTGTCTACTGGGGATCCTATACAGGGCAAAAGCACAACGTGAGATGCCAAAGTTCAGGATGGAAGAATTCAATTGACTTGTAAGGGTGGGATGAAGTGTAATCAGTACAAAAAAATAAGAGGAAAAAGGCATGGTGTAACACATGAAAGAATGAGACTAAATTGCAGCAATAAAGAATGATGAATTAATGGAGAGGACAAGGGCTTGTCAAGTGTGGTATTTCATGTGGGGGTGAGTTGTTGGATTTGCAAGTGTAATGAAAATGGGTTGGCTTACATTTGATGGATTCATTATTATGAAATGTAATATTTTTAGTGAATTTAGATTTCAAACATGTATATTAGGTCTTTTTGTTGTGAACTCCACATCTACAGAGACAAGTGGTATCAAAGTTATCAGAGTTGGCAAAAACATTGATATTAATTGAATCTTTATTGATGGCCAAGTTATATGTCATTCATAGGGACTCACCTTATTTACACTCAGTCATATGCCAATATGTTCTTTTTATGAATGTGGGTTAAATCCCATTGAGCAGCCTCCATCGTATGTACTATGGAGAATCCTGCTTGCATAAAGCACAACAACAATTCAGATCGTTTAAATTTGATGGTTTATCTTTCTACTTACATTTTATCCTTTTAACCACCGTAAATCTGTCTATTTATATTTTGATATTTTAATCACAATACAATCTTAATCATACTTTCTATTCAACTACAATAAACCTTTTAACAACCTACTTACAATTTAGCTAGGGTAAACTTTTGAATCACTTACATTTTAATCACGGTAAAAGAATAGGACTTTACTGGGAGTACCCTTGTATATATATGTATGAGTAAACTTATCAATCGTGTTGGGTGAGACGGATTTGTGTTGGGTCTTAGTGGGTTCGTATCAAAAAGCAATCCACTCGTACCCGTTTCATTAATTAATTCGTGTCTAACAAATCGTGTCATATCAGATCATTTCAAGTATGAATTGTGTATAGTCAGTATATGAAGGAGTAGTGTTGTGTATTTATTTTGATTGGTGTTCTTCATACCCAATTCATTTATTAATTGTGTTGTGTCGGGTCCACTCGTTTAATAAACGGTTGGCTAAAGGAGAACTAAACCTTCTAATTTCATGTCGTTTTAACAAGTCGTGTCATATTTTGTCACACTTTATGTATGAGTAATGCTAACATAATCATTTATAACAATTAGATTAACAGTAGGCGCTAGTGTTTATTAGGATCCACAACTAATTCAATAGTTAAGATGGATTAGGTTAGTAAATTAGATCCGCAGGTTAGGTCTAAATAGCATTATTGTATATGTATATATAGTTTGTTGTTTGGTGGTTTATATGATATCTCACAGTATGTAGGACTGCTCAGTTCAGCTTTTAAGTTATGACTAATTTGTTGGTAATTTAGCTGGTAAAGGCTCTACTTCTTCCTGGTATTTTGCAGTCTCATAGCATCCTATGATTTATAACCGGGCCTATTTTAGCATTAGGGAGATGGATACGTACTTATCATAACACGAGACTTGTTTTGTGCCCTAGGCATGCCTTTATCTACTCTTATACTTGAGGAGTTGTATGTTATTATCTAATTATTAGTTACTTCTTGAGTTAACTGTAGCCTGAGGACAACACATTTTACTTGGGTGCTTATACAATTGATCTAATTGTAGGTCAACTGCATCCTTCAAGAAGTCCAATTTACTGACCAAAAGCGTTTTAAACAGTTCGTTTCTCAAAGCAAAGCAAGAATGGAGGTATTTATTAAAATCTTGAAACAAATAGTCAGCACAAATGAACCTTATCTCTCTCTGCTGTCAACGCTTGTAACTTATTTTTTTCTCCAGAACCGAATCAGAGGAAGTGGTCATGGCATTGCAGCTGCGAGGATGGATGCAAAGTTAAACACTGCAGGGTGGATCTCTGAACAAATGGGTGGTGTAAGGTAGGACTTCTTGGATGTTTTCAATTGGGTTGGCTTGCAAGATGTCTTGAAGAAAATTATTCTTTGATAAAAATAAATAAATAAACCACCGTCATTTTTGACCTTTTTCGATGCAAATGAGTAATTCAAAATGTCAAGAAAGTGTTTTCTATACCACTCTAGTGCCATATATTTTAAATGCATTTTAGTTGTGTTCCAGCTTTGGAATGAATATTTTGTAATAGTTGTTAAAGCTTTATTCTACATCCTTAGATTTTTTAAAATTCAGCATTTAGAAATTGAATGAGTGTAATTATATTGTTGGTCCTTACAGTTACCTGGAATTTCTACGAGCACTTGAAGAAAAAGTAGATCAGAACTGGGATGAAATCTCTGCCTCCCTAGAGAATATCCGACAATCTTTAATTTCAAGGAAAGGTTGCCTAATAAATCTAACTGCAGATGGAAAAAACCTTACAAACTCAGAAAAATATGTTGGCAAATTTCTGGATTTGCTTCCAAGCACTTCCACGGTTGAATCATCTAGTTGGACTGCTCGGCTTCCTCCAATAAATGAAGCTATTGTTATACCTACTCAGGTCAACTCTTTTCTTCTTCTTTTTTCTTTCTAGCTGTCTTTCTTTACGTGTTTCACTCCTGATCTAATTGAGTTTTTCAATATATAGGTAAATTATGTTGGGAAAGCAGCTAACATATATGAGACTGGTTACCAGCTTAGAGGGAGTGCATATGTTATTTCTAAATACATTAGTAATACATGGTTGTGGGATCGGGTACGAGTTAGTGGTGGGGCTTATGGAGGCTTCTGTGATTTTGATACTCACTCAGGTACTATCATTGCATGTCAAGTCAAGGCTAATGGTCATAATTGGTAACTCCAAATTCCTTAGCTTCAGATCTTTTTATGCAGGAGTATTCTCATTCTTATCATATCGTGATCCCAATTTATTGAAAACACTTGGTGTATATGACGGAACTGGTGGATTCCTCCGAGAATTGGAAATGGATGATGATACTCTTACAAAAGCAATTATAGGGACTATCGGAGATGTAGATGCATACCAGCTACCTGATGCCAAAGGATATAGTAGGTTAGTTGGCATTCTTCATTGACTTGTTCCTCTGTGGATGATAGAACATCTGCATGCAGAATAATTTCATCTCTGCCTATAAATATGACCTCTGCCTATAAATATGACCCCTTAATGTAAATAATTAATTTTAGGATAAATGTTGTGATGCAGGGAGGGAAGGGGAAAAAAAGGATAACCAATCCTCGCAAGGATTATGTCAAGAAACACAAATCTCCGTAGAGAATTTTCAAACTAATATTTACTCTCATTAAAATAATGTGCAATATATCCTTATTTATAGACGAAGTGTCATACCATAAATGAACTACTCTACTGCTAAGGATCAAAATTTCGTTTTGAAATGATCGAAAAGTTCGAAACGTTTCGGTTTCGTAAGAGACCGAAACGGATTAGTGATGGAATTGAAATTCTAATATTTCAAGGTATTGCATGATGTTTCGGAATGTTTCAAGATATTTCAAGCTATTTTGATATATTTCGACTAATGTTTTAGAAAAATAATTTTCAAATTTTTTATTTTTTCATTATATTTCCGAAATGGGTCGAAATGATTCCGAAATACGTTGAAACGTTTTTGTTCCCTAGATAACCAAAATAATACATCAAAACGAAATTTTGATCCATATCTACTACTAAAACTCTCTCAACTTATCCTTACTAATCTTAATCTGATAAATATTGTCTAACTAAAAATTCAAATAATAAATAATAAAAATCCTAACAAATCTACCGGGTGCATTTTCCTTTGGACTAAAAACTCTTAGCCTTCGACTTAGGCTTCCAAATTTAGTCACGCTGGTGCAATAATCCAATAGCCATACCATCATGTTGTTTTATCTTCAAGTGTTTTTAGTGATGCATTTGAGCTATAATTATGATTATATATCTCTACCTTAGGATTTCTGGAGAGTGTATAAATGTTTTCTTTTAAAAGCTTTTGGTAGAACAGACCTTGGGTGCGACTTGAAATGTTTTGGGGCCTAAAGCGGTAAATTCAATTGATACTTTTTAATTTTTTTTTAATAATAGTGTAAGTTTTTTTAATATTTATTTTTTTTACCTTTTCAGAGGCATATTAATTGTTTAATATTCATATTGAAGTTTTTCTAACATCTTTTTTTATTGATAGTATGATTAATTGACTTAATTTTTAGCGGATTATGTTGTCTCGTCATTGACACTCTTGTGAAATTATTTTTCTACGGATTAGACATTACTCACAGAATATATGTTTGATTAGGTTTTTTAAGATCAAGATAAAAACAGAGTTTGAAAGAAATTGAAGTTAATTTCACTTTTGAGAGAGAGAGATAAATTAATGTTAAATGTACCGTTTGACTGAGGAGGCAGAGATAGACAAAGAGGTGTTTGACGGATTGATGCTTCATGCTTGTTTTTCATGTTTAATGTCCAAATTCTTTATAGCGTTTAGAAATTTTTTTTCCTTCATATCAAATGTTATTATGTGAGATTAATGGATTGGGCTTTTGGGCCCAAATCAGTCTAGGGTTTCTTTGTTGGTTTAGGCCATCATATGGGGCATTCTTATAAAACTTATTTTAATGGGTTAAAATTGACTTGGGCTATATTTTTAGACTTTTTAAATTTTGGAGCCTTTTTTATTGGTGGGGCCTAAAGCCATCACTTCATTTCCTCCACTGTTGGGCCGGCCTTGACGGACCTAATTATATTGAGACAAAGAGATGCATTCTAAACTTACAATGATTGAACTCAAAGAAATAAATGTATTTTCCTTTCAGCAGTTTTTTTAACAATAAATTTGCAATTTTCGCCTGTGGCTTCTAGGTACATTTTCCTGTATGATTGCTCTAGCATTTTCTTAGCATTGTTCTTTTCCTTTGGCTTATGCATTTTTCCCACTTGTGGATTTTCATTATGAGAAACCACTAATGATATTAGCAGCCCATGCTGTGGTTTTGGAAACATTCATGGTCACGTGAATTTGCAATGTCAGCATTATTCCCCATGACAGGAAGCTGCCAACTTCGGGACAACAAAAAACTCTTCTGCTTCTCATTTTGATATATATTCACACTTGAATAATGATAATATCGCCGACAAGGGAGGATGAAATTTTAAATTAGTGCAATATCCAAAAGGATATTCATCCTAATGAGGATGAAATTTGTATGTCTGCCTCCAGAGGGAAGTTTTGCTTATAGTTTGTATTTCTTTTTCTGCCCCCAAATTCTTTTGATTGTTGTATTATCTGAGCATTGTAATCAGTGATGTTCACGGATTTTTTCAGTTTACTGCGGTACTTACTGGGAATTACAGAAGAAGAAAGGCAAATGAGACGTGAAGAAATATTATCAACAAGGTAAAGATGACACTCTTTCACTCTGATATGGATGTGGTGTCATCATAGTATCTGAGGCTGCAACAACTACTTCTATAACAGCCCATCCTCCATAATTTATTTACTTGACATCATGGTTTACAGGTTTAGTGACTTGGAATTACATTCTGTCATGCTTTTTCAAAATCTATTATTGTAAATGGTCCATGATTACCTTCAACTAGGTTTATCTGGATTTGAAGTGTGGTAGGGTGGTAAGATGCTACTGCACATAATGGTTTCTATTTTAAAAGCCCCTCCTTAGGAAAGCATTGTGTGATGCAAAAGCAAATTAGGGCACTATCTATATACATATATATCCCATATTTTTTCAAAATCTAGCAATTGCATGTGCATGAAGGCACAACGTAATAAACAAAAAAATCACAATTAATTGTTTATTCCTGAAAAAAACTTTTTTAACAATTTGGATAAAATTTTTTTCTGAAAATAAGACCCATGAACAATATCAACATGTGTATGCAATTATACAATCTAGCCTTTATTTAAAGAATGACTCAAAACCAATTATTGACTTAGCATAACCTTCAAACTCTATGTTCGTGCCTGAAGGCACTACAAAACCTTCAAATTATAGTAGCACAGCTAAGATTCACACAAACCAGTATTACCAATCTCAATGACCCAATTTTTTTATTTTTTTGAACTGAGATAACCCAATATTTACCTATGTCTTATCAGACAAACTATGCCTTATCAAACAAAATCCCAAGCAAAAACCAAAACAAAAGGCGTGATTGAACCTAGTTAATTTATGACCCAAAAAAAACCTATTTACTTAGTATCCTTGAGAAATATAATGTGCAAATAAGCAACATTAAACCAAAAAATTGATTTCAACCCTCAAGTATGCCTAAATGCTTCAAGAATGCTGCTTATATATATACTGCTAATGATGCAACACTGGGCAAGAGAAGTAACAGACCAACATTGACTAAGGTGGCGGGGGCTAAGATACCAAGATGCGAAAAAAAAAAAAAAGAAGATAAATTAGAAAAAAGTCATCATCATTACCACTTCAATCAATAAAAGAATAATGAACACCACATTTATACCTATAAGAGGTAGGAACAATTAATAATGACGATTTAACAATGCGTGGCTGACGGACAATGATACCTTTTTGCTTTGAATATCAAACATTCCAAGGGTAAAGAATAAATTCATTATATTTTCATTGCCATATGATCTAAATTTTCATTTTTGTCTAACATAATGGGGATGCGCACTATATTATAAACACAAAAGTTAGAGGAAGAAAGATGATCCATAGTGAAATATAAAATTGCCTTTAATGTACCTACAAAAGGAAGGTCCTCTCAAAAACTAAAATAGCTTGCAAGAATGAGTTAGGAGCACCAGCCTGTGACTATTTGTTTAAAGACTTCCATTCTTATGCTTACTAACATATGCTTCTAGTTGCCCAGTTGCTGCCAATTTAAGACCTGCATATCCAAGAATATAAATTTTATGAGAAAATACATATGTTAGTGAAAAATGTTTTTATAATCTGTTACGAAATTGATTGTAATTGGCTAATTTTGTGAAGACTTGTTGTAACATAGGATAGGACAAAGGTAATGATCTAGATACCTAAGAACCCTTGGTGTAATTATAAATTTTGGTTAATTAAATTATTGGAATTGGATTTCTTAGGTTTTTTATGAAAAAGATTTTATAATCATTAAAATTTGTTTTAAAATCGTAGAATGAGTCATGTATCGGATCTCATTTGAGCAACACTCCTTAATACTCAATAGGTGAAGTTTTTGCTTAGATTCTAACTTAAAAACAGTAGTGGTTGTCCTCTATTCGCTTGCTTTCGGGTAGGGTGGTCTCAGAACACTTGGAAACAAATTCAAGAAAGGATTACAAGTTGGGAAGTGGAGACCGCAGCGCCTTCAGCCATTTAAGTGGTCTCTACTCCATTGAAGGATTGATTTCTCATTCTAGTGCCAACCGCTTTCTGATAGCTCGAGCGGTATTTGCGAATTTAGGTTTTCTTGGTCCCCAAGTTTACTAGAATTCAGAGGTTATAAATAGGGAAAGTCTCTTTAAGCTAAGATATCTCTCTAGATCTCTATTTTTAGCCAAAAATCAGCCTCCTAAACCTTTAAAGAGTCGAGAACAACCCCAAATCCTTAACATCCAAAGACCAAACTATCTTGATTTTTTCATTCAACTTCATACATTGAAGAAAAAGATCCAATTAATCGTAGTGAGCGCGTCCAAGTCAAGCTACTCAAGACTCAAATACTTGTGTGAGAGATTTAACAAGGAAAGAAACATCTAACCATGGACGAATTGGTTGAAGTATAAGACTCGGATACTTATAAATTAATCTTGAAGTAGTGGATTAGGCTATGTCAACTGGGTGCTGGTTCCGCGGTTTTTTCCCGAAAGGGTTTTCGCGTAAAATTGCTTGTGTTATTGATGTTCTTATTCTTGCTTTAATTTTACACACACACTCTTGCAATTGCACATACTATGTTTGATGAATTGCTACTTTAATTGCTCTTGTCAATTTATTCATCAAATTGAATTTTGTGGAAGTCGGCTTTATGGAGGGATTGGAGGATTGATTGATTGAATTGTTGAGATTATTAATTGCATACACTTATTATCCGTTCATTCATGAG